TTCACAATCGAACGTTTTTTTCAAACACTCACTTTCTACCATGTCTACAAGACACTCCGCATCCGGATGATGGATGCGTACGACAGTGCGCAGCCATCATTCGATGCTCGTCACAGCTCGTCACTATGCTTAGGCGCCGTAAGATCAACCTAGGCCCGTCTCAGAGGAATTGCACCGACGGGGGATGGGTTTTCTACGGTGCTTGGATTGTTTCGTTGCATCTGCAGTGAATAACAAATCTTCAAGTTCAAAAATTTTGTTCAATGTTTTTTGTGTGGCATCTAAATTTGTTAGATGGGTAGATTCTCCGAGCTCACTACTCCTCATGACCTGCATCTCATTCTTCAGTACGAGCACCTACTTTACAACCTGTTCATTTGGACTTAAAACTTTTCGCTATTGCGTATTCTTGAACATTATACTCATCCACATTTTTGGCATGCACGGAGAGGCACAAAAGGTACTATAAACTGCGCAAAAACTGTATTTCATCCGCATTTTTTCCTTCGAAAGAATAGCATTTTTCACCGTTGCAAAAATTAATGTCACAAGCGTGAAGCTAATCCGAAGCAATAGTTTTGGTCTGAAACGTTTTTATCTCTAGCACTTCGATTACATGTACAATCTGTGTAACGGTTTATTCCTTTCCAATTACCTCAAGCGCAATGCTAGATCCCCTGCCGCACTCGCGGGCGCACGCTAGGGCGTTCCAATCTGCCGCATCGATCTGAGATTGCTACGCAATATGCACGCGCTGCTGATGCGTAATCGCTACGGGAAAGGGAGCAAGTGGTTGATATGAACTGTATCTCATATTGCTGAAATATCGAGTCGTATGCTGAAAAGACGCAAAGGCAAAAGTATAAGAAGCCAGTGCTTAAGAAATATCAGATCTGCTGATCACATAAGAAAGAATCCATAATTGCGGTTATGAAGAATATCAACAAGTGTTCTCAGTTTTGTTTAATTTTGAATCTTGCACGTTATGCAGCGTCGACACAGGTAGCAGCTGCATCTTGGGACTGCATACATCAACATTCCTCTCGTGAGGATAGAAGCTTATTAGAAAACTTCATATACTAAAGCTCCAGATATCTAAATTTCACGCCATATAACTTATCTCTGAATATCCTCACCATCCTTCACAATGAACATATTGAACAGAGTCAAGAAGCTGTACAAGCCGCATTTGCCAGCTTTTTGTGTGATCCCCTGATGATCCCCTGTGGCCGACCGTCCCTTCAAAACATTTTTCTTTCTTCGAAGTTAACAAGAATCTTTTAAAGAACTACCGTTATTTGATCCAACAGTGCTGAGCATGTTGCTGATAAGAGCAAATAAGTTTTCGAGAATCGAATTTTTCGACAAACCCCAACTTTCAACTGGTGGTTCATCGCAAATTTCATGACTCCAGCATCATTTGTTTTTACCAGCAACGTGCTTATCAGTGCTGGGTCCCATAATCGGTACAACTTTGTTGTATTATCGTTAACTTTAAAGAAAGAAAGATAACTTTTAAAAAAAGACCACTTGGCCGCTGGAAATCATCGGGGTCATACAAAAAGCTGAAAAACGCGGCTTGTGCAGTTTCTCGCTCCTATTCAATAAGTTCAGAGTGAGGGATAGAAATACTTGTGGACAGCGTGATATGCGCCAGATATCTGGATATGAAGCTTTCTTTTAAGGTGCGATCCCCTCCCAGCGGGTATGTTAATGCATGCAGACCTTGGTATCAAAGTGGTGGTCCTATCTCGAAACTATCTGACATTTCGCTCGACTTCACATCGAAAATGAAACGCTTTGCTTGTGCTAACTTTCAGTGCCCCGCTTTGTATCTCGTTCAGCGGAGCTTTCTATCATACAAATCAATCGCACTTGCCTAGCAGACAGATTCGTGTGATTTTAGAAGACTCTCTATACTTATTTTCAAGTCCATTTCAGCATTATTGAGGAGTGGAAAAGAACTAGTAGTTAATTTTGTGAAACGCAGTGTAAATTTGTGAAATCCTTAAAAGTTTCAAGGAATATTTAAAAAGTGGAGAAGGTAAGTGCCGGCCCTGCAATACCGCTCACATTTTTTGAAAAATAGACGCGAATGTATGGACATGTATGGACATGTACGGGCATGTCCATACATGTATGTGGTGTCGCGTTGCCATATCTCGCTTCAGAGTGGACGAATTCTGAATCCAAAGCCACCATTCGATTCAGCTCCGCGCGGAGAATCTTTTGATATATTGGAAGTGGGGGTACGATGTCTTCGATATTCCGTTTCCAGTTTTTTTTCAATTTGTTCTGCGGAGGTCATTTCGCGAATATGTGAAGCAACGCCTACCCAACATAGAAGACTTGACTAAGTATTATTTGATAATACTGTTCACTTAGATTACTGTGGGCCAAAAAATAGGCTCAGACTTCTTTTCAAAAGAGATAGAAGCGTTGGTGAATTTTGGAAAAATCACGTGTTTTTAAATTCTACTCGCCACAACTTCCTTCGGAATCAATATATTTTGAATCCGAAAACAGCTTCTTGCTCAGCTCATTAAGGCGAATCTTCCTATTTATAGCATGTCCTTGATATTTCGATTTCAGTATTCTTGAATCTTTCTGAGGACGTCTTTTCGCGAAGGTGTAAAGCAGCGAGCATTGCCCCGAGTACATTCCAGCAAGAATCTTTCGATAGCACTTTTTCTGTAGATTATGATGTGCTAAATAATAGCCGCAGGTTTCTTTTCAAAGGAAATAGAACAGCTGGTGAATTGTGGAAAAATCTTGTCGTCCAAAATTCTACTCGTCATATCCGCAGGATACGAAGCTATCTTGCTAAGCAGATGTGAGTTTCGAAATCAGCGGGTCCGATAACCTCTGTGAGCAAGTTTTCCGATACGTTTCGGGTTATTCCATTTTTTCTCGTTTTACGCTTCAGAAGCTCGCCGATGGATTTTGGAAAATGTTGATGCTCCTGAATTGTAAGTAAGCTTCACTTATAGAGTTTTTCGAACACGCTCTTTACGAAAATTATGGTCTTGAGGATTATAGGTTTTTTGGAGAGATACGGTGAGGTGACTGTAACTGCATCACGAAAGTGCGTAACTTTGGCCGCACTTTTCGCGTATCTGTCAGAGACATTGCCTGCTTGCTCTCAGTCAAAGTTACTAGGAACTGTGCTATTGAATGGTGCATTACTCAGGCTCCAGTCTGTGCAATCGCCGAGTTACGAGCCTACGAAAACACGTCCTAATGAATTTTGCCCAAAATGTGAAGATCGCATATTTCGTCGAAATTTCTCCGTGAGCGCTTGTACAACGGCTGATCAAATCCTTCCACATGTTTGATGGATCTTATTGTGTTTGGTTTGGTGAGGACTTGTTTTCGTAGGCTCGTAACTCGGCGAATTTCACAGAGTGGAGCCTGAGCTATGCACCATTCGATATCACAGTTCCTAGTAACTTTGACTGAGAGCAAGCAGGCAAAGTTTCTGACAGATACGCGAGAAGTGCGGCCAAAGCTACGCACTTTCGTGATGAAGTTAAACTCACCTCACCGTATCTCTTCAAAAAGACCCTGTAATCTTCAAAGACTACGATTTTCGTAAAGAGCGCGTTCGAAAACTTCTGTAGGCGAAGTTTCCTTACAATTCAGGAGCATCAACATTCTGACCAAAATCCATCGGCGAGCTTCTGGAGCGTAAAACGAGAAAAAATGGAATAACCCGAACATGTCGGAAAACTTGCTCACAGAGGTTATCGGACCTGCTGACTTCGAAACTCACATTTGCTTAGCAAGATAGCTTCGTATCCTGCGGATATGACGAGTAGAATTTGGGACGACAAGATTTTTCCACAATACACCAGCCGGTCTATTTCCTTTGAAAAGAAACCTGCGGCTACTATTTAGCACATCATATCTACGGAAAAAGTGCTATCGAAAGGTTTTTGCTGGAATGTACTCGGGACAATGCTCGCTGCTTTACACCTTCGCGAAAAGACGTCCTCAGAAAGATTCAAGAATACTGAAATCGAAATATTAAGGACATGCTGTACATAGTAAAATTCGCCTTGATGAGCTGAGCAAGCTGCTGCTTTTTGGATTCAAGATATACTTATTCCGAAGGAAGTTATGGCGAGTAGAATTTGAAAACGCGTGATTTTTCCAAAATTCACCAACGCTTCTATCTCCTTTGGAAAGAAGTGTGAGCCTATTTTTTAGCGCACAATAATCTACAAAAACAGTATTATCGAATAGTTCTCAGTAAAGTCTTCTATGTTGGGTAGGCGTTGCTTCACATATTCGCGAAAGGACTTCCGCAGAACAAATTGAAAAAACTGGAAACGGAATATCGAAAACATCGTACCCTCACTTCCAATATATAGGAAGATTCTCCGCGCCGAGCTGTCGAACGGTGGCCTTGGATTCAGAATTCGTCCACTCTGAAGCGAGATATGGCCACGCGACGCTTGTATGGACATGTCCATAGATGTATTGACATGGCCGTACATGTCCATACATGTCCATACATTCCGTCTATTTTTCAAAAAATGTGAGCGGTATTGTACTTGAGACACCATATTTATTTTCATACCTCCACATTTTCCTATCAGCGTTTGTGTGCTTCACCTTATAATCATGATCGTAAATCCTACTGACTAACTAACTTTTGCGTTTCCTGTGCCTACTTCCATGTTGAACATGAACGGCTTCTCAAAGAAAAACCATTTTCAACACTTTGAGGGCATATTTGTATTTGATGCAAGTATGCATGTTGGGACTAATGCAAATGATTACCCCAAAAAGTTTGTCTGATAACTGAAATCAAACTGGATTTCACGAGTCATCAACTAGGGTTTCTTGGATCCTCTTTGGCGAGTCGCATTGTTCAATATCTGGGCAGTTGCAGTTACATGTTATTTAATCAATCAATGGTATATAAAATGTAAGCAGCGTTTGTGGTGTTGGAAACACATGAGTGTCTTCATTTGGTTTTCATCGTTGAGCCGTACAAGTAACAACAAAAATGCTTTACTAACGAGCGTCTTGTAGCGACGGAGCAAATCCGATACGCTTATTTTTCATGTCATGTATATTACAGTATTGACGTATGAAAGGATCACCAAGAAACCACTGTGGTCCGAACCGTGAAAAAACCGGGAATACTGCTAGAGTGCAAACGTTTTTCCCGACTTCTACAATCATGTTGACTCTCTTGATGGGATACTCGTTATCCCCGATTATGAGTGTGAAGTCGTCACCTTCAGCAGCACAGTCAACGTAGTAAGTGCCATCAGCTTCCTTGTACTAAAACTAAAATATTGTCGCAACAAAAAGCTCACTAATCTTAAAATCTAATACGTTAGTAAATGGTCATAGGGTTGCAATCACTTACTCTTTCTCAAACTTTTGCTACTGGATTCCTTTTTTCAAAACTTTTTTCATATCTTTGTTTCAGAGCGTACCACAAGCTTGACTTATTACTGGAGGTTTTCAAATTTTAAAGCAGTAAATCCAAATATCACGATTAAAATGCAATTTGCTTTCGTTAAGCAATAAAAATAATACGATTATATGATACACACAAAAGCACGATCTTCAAAAACAAGCATTAAAAAAATTAGCAAAGTGTTTTGCCTTTGCCCTTTGCAATTTTTTGAGCATTTTTCAGTTGAGGCTTAGAGGAACTCCATATAGGACATGCAGGCGGACAGGACTAAATTTGGATTATGGGTGAGAAGCAGCATGAGTTTGACAAACAAATGCTCAAGGCGAAACTGAGAAATTGTTTGAGATGGTGTTACATCACGTGTGAGTGCCGCCATAGCATGTGGTATTGAAGATATTTGCCTCTTTTGGCATTCATTTCAGTCTCTGACTGGTAATGTCTCCCTCCAAGCGCGTCCAAACTGCGCAAACCCTTGGCTTACAAGGGAAAGATACACGGTGTCTACGGCTTTTTGAGGGGGTTGTATACCATTACATCTAATTCCAAATATGACTTCCGTTTCTGCTAATCGTTTTACTAAAACAAATTGTAAAAGATTTTTGCGTCAGGCTTGGTAGCCCAAGTGAAACACGATTAAAAGGCTAATATCGCCGATACACTATGGTGCAGTGATTAGTCCGACATTCTCACAAGTAGATGCAGATGTGAGTTCAAATCCTTTTGTGTTAGCTTTGCATTGTCTCTCGGGATGCGGCTATTACCCAACAGCTGCTCAGATGGAGGTTGGCCTAAGGCGAACCTCTGGTAGTGACCTCCGCCCGTAGGCAGCAGACAATTCCTTCTTTCCCCTTTCCCTTCCCTTTGGTATATAGCTTGCATATAATAAAGATTATACTAGGTTGTCCCGAAAGTTTTGTCGGTTTTTTCATTGCTCACTAAAACTCAAAGAACTTCAGTCCATGAACGTTCTAGGTACCATTTGATTTAGATTTTCATCCTCTTTCTTACAGCTATCTTTGCTCTCTGACCTACCCTGTCTTTGCAATGTTATCGCCATGGCTTTTTGAGCAGCTCAACAGTGACGCCAAACCTTTCGTAAATTTTAAAAATTTCTATCCTAACACTCTTGAGGAGCGCTGGTAACCGTTATGTAGAGCAAAGCTTTGGCTACATTGTATCCATTTTAGATTACGTGGGTCACGTTTACCAAGTCCGTATAATTATTTAGTTAATAAAAACCGCGGCTTTTTGATTACCTTCGCCACGTAAAAGTACCGAAAATTCCAAAAAGTTGTTTTTTCAAAGCAAGTCAAACTGAGTAATGTTGCATAAATAGTGTTCAATAAGAATCATGTTGCAATTGGCAGAAACTTCAGAAGTTTTCATGTTTTTGCTCCAGTTGCGTGTTTCATGACTTTGCCAAGAATCGAGACCTCCGAAGAAATGATTTTTTGAAGTGAAATCAGCAGATTAGTGGAGTCCAAAAGTATCGTCTTGTAGTACGAGAATTTCTCTATTTAATCCTTACTTAACCCTTTCCGAAACTTTTAAATGAAATTTTCAAAAATTAGCCGAACTTTGAGCAAACAAAAATAACGGGTGAAGAATTTCAGCAATCATAAAAGAAAGCATACAGGATTGTGGCTCGAAAATGTAACCACAAGAAAGAGAAGGAAAAGATGCATCGAATACATGCTGAAGCTCACATAGATCTTCATTGTGCATGGTCTTATAGTGGTCTGAAAAAACCGACAAAACTTTCGGGACGACCTAATAGTAAGACTAATGTAAACCCCGCTACACCTCAGGTAAAGGCAAGTCCAGCCTTTGTTCTGAAAAATCTTCCATGTCAGAATAGAAGCAAAGCCACCCTTTATCTTGACAGATCACTCCTTTTTTGAAAGTTAGGCATCCTAAAAGAACATGCACGCCCAAAAATTCCGGATCAGTTTTATATGACTCCTATCTTTATGCTAAAAGGTGCTTATAAAAAGAAAATGAATGCATGGCAAACAAAGTGACGGAAATCTATGATAAAGTCTTGAATCATAGGAATTGCTCGCGATGGCATCGGATAAAGAACAAGTCAAGAATGGGTACATTTTAGGGCAAATAATAATATTCTCTTTCAGTTTTCCAAATTTTTGAAGTTTAAGGGCATGCATAACATTTAAAAAGAAGCCCAATTGAGGCCAAAAACTGAAACACTGAAGGGTACGAACTCACACCTGCAGGGAGCTTGTGAGACTCTCATACTAACCACATACAGTCTGATAGCTTGAGTCTTGTAGTTTTCATAAGAATAATTTGGGCCTGATTTATATTCTTCGCTCTGAGTAAAGGCTGGTGAAAGCGCAGCCATTGGAATCGAAAAATGGGACAAACGAGATTTTGGCCTGCTTCTAATTCCATAAGATGGCTATTTAAAGCAGGATTCATGGTATTGGAAAAAACAGAAAGAGTGCTTTGTATTAAGTACAAAAAAAATTAGCTACTATTATACTTTTGAATATATTTAATCATGTTTGAAAATGACCACTTTACTCGGGTGGTGTACCATTAACCCTCAGAATTTGCTAAAACTCAACCCATGGTGGTTATGTGACATGATAATTACGAATACTTGCCTAATTGAGAGCCTTTGTGTCATGCTTACGGAAGGCAAAGAATATTGCTGGTAGGGGGAGGGGGTATCGAGACGAACAAAAAGGGAAGGGATCGTATTTGGCGCTTGTGTGCCACACCTCTTGCGCGACCCTGGTTATTATCGGTAGAGGTTGGCTAATTTAGCACAATAAAAAAATGGAGGAAAAGTCCGGACCTCGCGGTCCGACCGGACACTGTACGCAAGGCTGCTTGGGGAAAAGCGCTACTGACTCAAGAGTCAGTACTTTAGAGAATCGCCAAGAATTAGCATGATGGGGTTATATAACTTGCCAGACACGAATCTCATATCCATTTGTTGATTTAACGCCTCGTGTTTTTTGTTTAGGGAGACACCTACCGTACAGTAGTCTACAGTAGTCTCAAAAATGGCCCCTGCTATGCTCTTAAATTTCGTTGAACCAAATGCCTACCATTATTCTCACTGTGACGTCAGAATTTGACAGAATTGTGGCTGCTGCTCTCGTACCTCTCATATACATAATGGCAATGAGTGCATCGTATACAAAAGGGAATGATTATTATATTGCAAAACTTTGTTAACAACCTAATGATGTCCTTGTACTTACTTAGAAACATACAATTAGATGACCGTCCTCACATGACGTGCGGGCCCCAGCACAGAAGTTGACATTGATCCCTGTTCCTCGCTTCAGACATCCACAACCTTCTTGGACGTCTTCGGTGGTTGCGTCCACGAGTACCAGGGGCGAGAGTCGTATTCAGCTGATTTCTTAGCTGGTCCATTCGTTCCACGAACACGTCTGCCCATCTCGTTGGTGGTCTTCCTCGAGGACGTTTGGCTTCGCGAGGAATCCACTCAGCTTAGTGTCCATCTATCGTCCGTTCTTCTCATTATGTGACCGATCCATCGGTGTTTCGCTTTCGCAACGTATTCCGCTGGGTCACGAAGACGGGACATTCTTCTCATATCCGTGCTGCGAAGTCCGACTAGATGTTGCTTGTGTCGGGTCATCTTCAGAAGACTGCGCTGGAGCGCTCTGTGGGTGGTCCTTGAAGCTTTCGACGTGGTTACGGTATCGGCCTTAGTCTCAGCTGCGTAGTTGGGGGCACGAAGCTCCGGGTCCGTCAGTTGGTCGGTGACTTCCTTCAGAGGCCCTCTTCCTCTCCTGTAAAGTTCTTCCTTCAACCCGAGATACACGTAGGAAGACGTCTTCATAATCAGGTCATTTCCATTTCTGCATCTTCGCAAAGAGCGTTCTTCATGAACTGAAACTTTTTCCGATTGATTCGCAGTCCGATCTTCTACTTCGTTTAGTTCCTTCAGCATCGTCTCCGCTTCAGTGATACTGCTCGAAAAGAGACGACGTAATCCGCAAAACGAAGGTTGGATAGGAATCTCCCATCAACTCATATGTCTCTCTCTTCCCAGTCCGACTTCATCACCCACTACAAGGCCGCGGTGAACAGCTTCGGCGAAATAGTGTCGCCTTGTCGGCCCCTTCTCAATTGGAATGGTCAGGGGGGGGGGCGATGGAATAGCTGCATCGTTGTTATACAGTACTTGTAGCAGTCGGCTAATGTCTTCACGTAAGCTGGGTCCACTCCTTGATCGACTAGCGCAGACAGGATGGCGTTGATTTCGACGCTGTCAAAGGCTTTCTTGTAGTCGACGAATGTTGGACGAGAGGCAGTCGGTACTCCCGGCAAACTTCTATAACCCTCGAAACCGTCTGGATGTGGTCCATGCAGCTGAATCCTTTGCGAAATTCAGCTTGTTCTTGGAGTTGGGCTTCATCCAGTGTCCTAGATATGCGTGCGAGAATAATCTTCGTAAAGAGCTTGTACAGCACACTCAGCAGGCATATCGGATGGTAATTTCGAAGATCTACCCGTTCACCCTTTTCAAAAAGAAGGACGGTTCTTGACGTTCCCCACTGGTCGGGAATCCTCTCCTTTTGAAGGTAGGATGTCAGGTGCGACGCTAGAATGTCGTGTAGACGGTGTCCTCCGGCTCGCAGAAGTTCGACGGAAAGATGATCTGGTCCTAGAGCCGTGGATGTCTTCATGGTCTGTATCGCGATACGCACTTCAGCAGGTAGAATTCGTGGTGGTACTTCTCCAATGGGAAAAACGGGTATCGGATGGGTGTTGATGAGCGGAAGAGGTTGGTGTTAAAGTTCTTCGCGATAAATTCCATCTCGTATCGGAAAAAGTCGGAGTCCCGTCTTCGTTCAATAGTGCAGCCAGCGGTACGTGATATTCACAGAGGTCCCTTCGGCATTTCTTAAGACTTCGTCTTCCTTCGGCTGCTTCCAGTATCTTGGCTTGCCTGTACTTCCTGAGATCTTCCTGCAAAGCTGTTCTGAAACTGGCGTTGGCTATCAGTCGCTCGAGATGGGTTGCATTCGGATCCTGCCTCAAAAATCTTCTTTCGAGCAAATTCTTGATGGTCTTCGAAATGCGTTCCAAGTTTTTCTCAGAGGTCACTGGGGCGCATTCTCCGCAGGCTCGCAATCCTTTCAGAAGCCGGTCGTAGTCGTACGTTGGGTCCTTCTCGATGGGCCAGTCACAACTTGATATGAGCTCTTCCAGCCTGTTACCGTCATAAACGACTTCCTTCCTCGCGGCCCTATGACAGACTTTTTCAGCCTTGGCTGAGTCGTATCTTCGCTCGAAGGAGGCGGTGATTGGAGCCACTAGAAGGATAGAACTACAGAGAGAGGAAGCTCCACCTTCGGTTGGTGAGAATGTGGTCGATCTCAGCATGAGTCTTTCCGTTGGGCGACTCCCAAGTCCACCGGCGATTCTTTCTTCATGAAGATGGAGTTTCCATGGAAGGGTTGTGCGGCGGAGAAAAGCTCAACGAGACGGTTGCCGTTTTCGTTTCGGAGCCCATATCCAAACTTCCCGATCCGATATTCCTTTTTAGTGGCATCCCAATTTTCGCATTGAAGTCGCCCACAACATACATATAGAAGGACTTTTCGTTGCGGACGATCTCCTCCACGTCTTCGTGGAAAGCATCTAGTTCTGAGTCGTCAGCTGCTGATGTTGGAGAGTAGCAGCTGATGATGCTGATGGTCTTCTGTCGATGTGCAGAGTTTCTTTTTATTCTTCTAACTGGTAGAGTAATGAAATTTTTCCCCCGCAAGAGCAGACTTACTAGGCCAACTCTTGATTTCCACGGGGCGATCGCTGACCCCGGGATTGGAGCGGGGAGAACCGCCTAGCGACCTGAAAATCAGACGGCGGTGATTCTGACCTGGCCGGCTCTTAGCTAAGCATCCGGCCGAAACCGGAAATTTCGAACTCCTTCACAGCTTGGGAGGCCCTACCAGAGTATACACTCGGCTGTGCATAGCAGTTCGACACCCAATGTCACCCCCACGCCACGATGAGGCGGCCGACCATTGTGGGGGATGATGTTCTTGTAATATTTGTAAATGTTGATTACTCTTTCCGATTATCTGTATGCACACATCGCCTTCTCTTATATCACCTAGTGTTAAATCACTTGTGTTTGATCGGCTTGGATGGTAGAGAGGGGGAGGAGGGTTGCGCTTTCTCTAATTATACAATAATCTTAAACTTGTTAAACCTGCACGTTATAGCATTGTTTTCGTACTATCTCTCTACCAAGAACCACCGCGCTCTGAGCTGACATGATTCCGTCTTAGTACGAATTGTGAAGCCGAAGCTACATCACTGCTCTATTTACTAGTATTTGCGAATTTTGCACCTTATTCGCTTACGTATACATACTAGACTCAAGCAACTTCCTCATTGTTTTATACTACCCTAAAATCCCGCCAATAAGTCCGGACTTACGTGCAGTTTTGGCAGGGAAAATCGATGGAAAAACGCCCTCTGCGCCCGCCAAAAGGTCTACCAGATAAGGTCCGCCTAAATCCTCTCACAGATAAGTCCGCCTGTCCTGAGCATGAGCAAGCGCGACCTGGGAGCACAGGCGCGCGCGACCGCCCGCGTGGATTGCCAGTGTAGAAAACGAGGCCGCGATATCGCCTGAAAGAAAGAGCCCAAGGATTCGACAAGTCGTACAGTCTACTTGCTGGCAGTATCGTCACGGATTCTCTATCGCATACGCTGGATAGATGAGTTCTTTTCCTATATATGACACCTATACGAAATTAAGCGATTTCTGTCGATGAAAGGAATCATAATAGGTTTCATCATTGTATCATTGCAATCATTTCATCTTATCATTCATCTTATCGTTTTGGAAGCGACAATGTTTTCAATACATCTCTCGAACCTGTACAGGCTACAACCCTTGAACCTGACTGCCTATACTTTTTGCTTCCTCTATTGTTTTCATGGTCTGAACGTAGTCTCTGTTGAATCACACCATACGGCTTTTGTCAAATGTTTTAATAAACGGAAGAGTGGCAGTCTAAAAACGCTCAACCCTAGCAAAGCATTGGGCTTCTTTGTTCTTTTTCTCAATTGTTGTTTCATTAGGCCTGTACATCCAAGACAAAAGATAGTGTAGTCAAATTAGATGCCGCCTGCTTTTTCTTGTAAAAGAGTAAACTTTTCGATGATCAGCGCAAATTTATAGGACTCTGCGTGATTCCAGTGTGCAATGACCGCTAACTCAGCGAAGTTCGCAATTGCGCAGAGCCCTATATTTGCGTCATAGTCTCACATGCTGTGACTCAAGCTGTTCAGGTGTTTCGGATCGCAATGGCTACCAGAAGGAAGTCCTACAACACGCTTTTCAAGCTTAACGCTACAGATATGCCTTGGAACACGGGACATCGGCTGCAGCTGCTCATTGCGAAGTCTCTGCACGTCTGATTCGAAGATGGAAGGCCGATAAGGAGAATTTGGAGGATATGCCACTGAAGAAACGCGCCAATCGTTATGGAAAGCAAAAGATGGAGGAAATCGAGGAAGCTGTCTATGCATGGATTGTGCAGAGGCGAGAAGCACGCAGAGCAAAGGATATTCGAGCGATTGCATTGCAGTTAGCGCAGGAATATGGCCGACAGTACTTCAAAGCAACGGAGTCGTGGTGCAAACGGTTTATGATGAAAAAGAACTTAGTCGATAGAAGAAGAAGCAGCGTCGGTCAACCACGTTTTTGATAATGATGAACATGGAATGGAACCTGAATAAAGATCTGTTGCTTTGATTCATTTTGAGACCAAAAAAGGCAGCGCAATTGCGCTCCTTCTTGTTTTCATCTGAAAAAAGCGGACTTATCTGCAAGACTCTTGGCGACTTTCGTTGTCACGAAAGCGGACTTAACTGATAGTTCCTTTGCGGACTTATCTGATAGGGCAGACTTATCTGATAGGCGGACTTATTGGCGGGATTTTAGGGTAATTCTCAATCTTATTAAGCTGTAATCTATCCCAGAACCTCGCTTTCTGCCTTTCATTCTAGCTTTCCAAAACAAAGTGTGACTTGAAAGGCATGACAAAATCAAAGATGAAAAACTAGTTTTCCAATAAAACTTAATATAGAAGAGACGAAACGGAAGTTTATATCAAAAAACCGCAAAGTGGTGAGGGATCCCAAACAAAGTGCTGCGGAAGTCTCCAATCCGCAGCAATTTTGCGGCGTTTCCGCAGATGACCCGGCTGAAACGCTGCGGAAGTGCCGCGAAAGTTACGGACAATTGTCTAAGCATTTGGACCGTGATTAGAGGAAGAAATTACGTCATTATGCACCGCCTCTGCGATTTGCTGTTCCTTTTACGATAAGGTAAGACGTGTTTGAAAAATAAGTGTTCCGCAGAGTAGGTTGTCATTGGCTGAGTTCGTTTTCCTGCCCTATTCCGATTGGTATATGCTAGGAATTAGCCAATTCGGTTAAAAGAATACACACCGTTGCGTTGAATGCCTTGCTAACTTCATCCGCGACAGCCGTTGGCATACCCATGAACGAAGTTCCAGTATCCGAAACGACGTAATATTTGGTCATTGTCTTAATCTTATTAAATGAGTACCCATCCATCTAAATAAGTGTTTGCTAGAAGATCTGCTAATCTCCTTGCATATTTAACAAATGCAAATGTGACACTACAACTGTACTCTTCCAATTGATTTCCAGTACTCTATGTACCTCGAATGCCCAGTATGTTGCTGACGTAAGATTTTGCCAGGCAATGATTTCACCGCAATTTTCACGGTCTTCTCCGCCATAGGTGACCATTCCTCCATATACAGGTTTCTCGGCTGCAAAAATGTCGCATATTTCAAGAATACAATCAACACGAGACAGTAGCGACTTAAATTTGGATAAAATAATCATTAGCGCTGTACCCTGGTAATGGTGATCTCACTCAAATTTTTTCAACAAGGTGCTTGATAGTAGTGCTCTTTAATTCCTAATATCGATTGCTATAATATATACACGAAATTCCTTCTCCTACGACCAGGGCCTGGCACCAGCTGGCACGGGGCAAGCTGGATATCGTTTTTGGGGCAAAAAGCAAAGGGGGTTTCGTTTTTGTGGGCGAAGACATACGCAAAATTGGCGGCGACGACCTTTTTTTTTTTTTTTTTTTTTTTTTTAGTCGACGTTTCGTTTTTTGGGGGATTTTGGGGATTTTTTTAGGATTTTAGAGGGGATATCGTTGAGGATCAAAGGGGACTTCGTAAAATTTCCCAAAAGTCAAGGGGGACTTCGTAAAAATTGGCAAATTTCAAAGGGGACTTCGTTTTCAAAATTCCCTGGTGCCAGCTCGTGCCGAGCCCTGCCTACGACAGAACTCGTGACAAATTCACTCATTAGGAACAAAATTGTGTGCAAAATCGACTTTTCAAAGTGATGTCTCGTGCATTGAGAGGCATTGACTAGAGTAGAGCTGGACTGTCTGCACAAACTGTTTCATTGCAAGTTACGCCCCAGAAGACGCAGTTTTGTTTATTCTTGAAAAATACGTTGTTTTCTGTAGAAGTTGAAACTTACAGTAGCCGTTTGCATGCTCCATGTAGAAAGTGAAAATTGGTTCAACTAAGCCCAGTTTCCATGCACGTTCAAAAATCGGAACAAAATTGTTCACAGAAAGTGCTGAAAATCCCATGCCGAGGATTCCATCCATAGGTTGCTGAAAGCAATATCTGTCGCAAATTCGATAGCAGAATATGATACACAATCATTTATTCGCTTTACACTTTGAAGCTAAAATTGGTAGCTTTTGTCTGCTTTACCTTAAAGGCACCGTCCACCCAAAATGGAGGTTGGCGAGATTATGATGGCATACTAGTGTGGCCCCCCATACTAGACAAACCTTCAAGCTTCGCCGCAAAAGACTGCTTCTGGAGCGAGAAATCCGCTCCGGAAGTAGCAAGGTAGGCGGGGCGACCATGGTTGCCCCGCCCAATTGCATGCTTTATCTCGCCTGCGCTTGTTGCAGAGGGTTCTCGAAACAGGGATCTTTGGGGGTTTCGCGGATTTTCGACTCCATATTCGGAATCAGGGCTTTCAGAAGGCCTTAAAGCGACAAAAACATTGAATTCGAGATTTTGGGTGGACGGTGCCTTTAAGAAATATATGATGTTAGTCTTTCACGGAGACAGTTTGCTTTTGAAAAATGTGGAAAACATGGCGTTCCAATTAACTGATTGCATTAGCTTGTAAGCGAAAAAGGTAGAGGTGACCTTGGTGCACTTACTGCTATGTAGAGTCTTTCACAACAATTATTCTTTTGAATTGCAACAAAGCGGTTGTTGCAAACTGTCACTGTGCTGTAGTGCAAAGTTCGCGGAGCTTTCATTTATTTACCTACGAGTTGATTGCATTTTTGTTTTCATTTGAGCACATCATTAGCAAATTAGGATGTTATCACCAAAAAAGTTTTTACTAAATGTTTATCCCGCGAAATCTTATAAGAAAAAGGCAAAACTAGGATGCGAAGAAAGGTTGGTCAAAAAATAATTTCGTTTTGCCCTTTATGCTTTTGTTGTTGTTATTTATCAATGTTGGGTAAAGTAGTCGTTAAGATTCTGCATCACATACAATACCGCTCATAATTCGTCAAAAAAGTCGCCGGAGTGCGGCGCACTCTGCCACACTCCGCCGCAGTCCGCCACACTCCGACGCACTCCGGCGCACTGCGCCACACTCCGCCACACTCCGACGCACTCTAGCGCACTCCGCCGCAGTCCGGCGACTTTTTTGACGAATCATGAGCGGTATTGTATGTAGAGCAGTCTGTTATATCCCCCTTGTTCTTCCACACTGGTATCGTTGCGCTTTTGTAACAATCGTTGGGCATCTTCTTGCATTCTACAATACCACTCACATAACTTGCAAAATTTCCGTAAATGTCGCGAAATTCCGAAATTCCGCGAACTTTCCGGAATTTCGCGAAACTCCTGAAAGTTCGCGAAGTTTCGCGAAATTCCATGAATTTCGCGGAATTTTCGGAATTTTGCGATATTCAGGGAAATTTTGCACATTCTGTGAGCGGTATTGTACTCGACGTGCTAACAACATTTCTTACATTGTTTTGCTGCTGGTGGCACATTGTAGGATAGAATATCTGCAAATTACACGACTTTCGAATTTGAAAGGGAATTCATGAGAAGGCGATTTTGTAACATCATAATCTGACGAACAATTCAAATAAAGAGCTGTGATAAGCATGGTCCGATAGAGGTGTTCACAAAGTTTTCAACTCACAAAAATTTGCAGACAATTTCCGCAACAGGTAGGGGAAAAGTGCAGGCGAAGTTGCAATCTTGATTGGTTCAGCTACTTCTATCTTACTTTAGCTTTACTGTAAGACTCTCCAGTGCAAAATAAATAGGATTTTCGTAAAGATCGGGACCAAGAACCACTATAAGTGAAGTTTGCGGTCAATCCGAAAACCTCAATATTTTGACCAAATTTTGCGTCGAGGCCAAGAGTGAGGAGCGATCGCGCTATATCAATGTGTATTGCTTCTAAGAAGCTGGAAAAAATATGTAATGTATATGTATGAGACAGGTGTCTAACGTGATTTTTGGGGGAATTACGGAGCAACTTTGGGGGAGCCAATTTTACGGCCTGAGCTTGCATGTTGGGGGGCTAATAACTCTGCGAATATTACAGGTATGGGGCTGGTATTTGTTTTGTTGGACAGATCTCCGAAAATATGATTTTTAGAGAAAAGGTTGTAGAATAACAAGTTTCCAAGAAAAGTGCCTAATTGACAGTCGAAGTTGGGAAATCTGTCAATAAGGGCGATTTTGCGCGCTTATATTTCTAAGAGTTGCAGGGCTGAAGTAATCTCATACGGTTGTTAACGTGTAGTTTTGGTAGCTCCATTTTTCTAGGGGTAGCTCATGCCCATAGCTTCAACGTAGGAGGCGCTATATAAAGGCGATGATGCATATTTTGAATTTTATCTCCGTGGAGAGTGGGGATGACGGGCTGGGATAGCCGTTCTTCTATTCGTATTCGAGGGGGACACCACATATAATTCGGAGAAAATGC